TGATGGGTCAAAGCTGGAATCAAACGCCACAAGAAAATTTTTCAAACAAAAACAGCCTTCGTGCCGGTTTATTTTAAAAATAAAATAGAAATATTAGGAACTTTTGTGTCTTAATTTGCCGCTTTGTATCGAAATGGCTTTTGAATTCAGGTTAACTTGACGTCAAACGATTTTCGTTATTGTTTTTCCCGGAATCGTGGCCAATGAGCATTTTAATTTGTGAACAAATACACAACTGACAGACTACAACCTTCGTGAATAAAGGGGTGGGAGGGGGCGGGGGGGGGGGGGGGGGGGGGGGCAACATGCGTGCGTATAAATAGATGCTTTGCAGCAGCTATGCATGGGCGCCGCCATAACCGACCTTCAGTTTTTGTTCCCTCTTATTATCTTTATTTCATTTCATCACTACCATAGCGGGCCAGGCTTTTTTCCATGTTAGATTCGTGTCCTTCGCCCCAGCATTGGCCTCTGTGGAGGCTCGGCAATGCCCTTTTCAGCGGCTCGGTATCTCGGCGAGACAAGAGAAGGTCAGCCATGGCGGCTGTAATTGGCACGTGTGTAAAGCATCTAAATATAAAGTTGGCTGAATTTTGAGGAGGGGACGTGGTTGAGGGCTGAAGCCCCATAAGCTTCCCCCTGGCTGCGCCCCTGACTAGAATTCTAAATTCGTATCTATCGAGTTCAACTTACCGTAGGCTCTCGTCGTTTGAAGGGTAAGGTTCAGGCACGTAGCCAGGATTTTGTTTCGGGGGGGGGGGGGGGGGGGGCGGGGTTCCCGCCCATAACAAAATGTTGTATGAGGGGAAGGGGGGAGAGGAAGTCCCAGAAAAATGGAAGATTTTGGGGGGGGGGGGGGGGGGAGCCGGGCCCCATGGGCCGCCCCCCTGGCTACGTGCCTGGTAAGGTTTAAAGATAAGATAAAGGTTAATCATGAAATGCGTAGATAAATAGGAAGCCACTGGCCCGCTTTAGCATACTACCGGGATCCGGCAGTTCGCTCCGACGTTGCGCACCGCCAAAGCTTGTCAAGGCTTCCCTTCATGGGACACTGACAGGGCATTTATGCTCGCCAAGGATTTTATTTGTGCATGACATATGAGAGCCCAACCACCCAGAACACAATTTGCGGCTCGAAATTCGTTTTCTTTGCACCCGAAAACCGCCGATCGAGAACTGGCCGTTTTCATTCGCGCTCACTCTCTTCTCCGTCGTTGGGTGCCGTTTTCTAGGGTTTAGACAGAATCACCAAAGATAGTTAAAATCGTGGATCATCAAAGGCACACACTCGATACTAAAATTGGACGAAAAATATGACGCTTTTGTGGCTTTTAAAAAGTTGCAAATACGTTGAATGAAGGAAAAAAAAAGAAGTAGCACAGCCACGTGACTTCCGGTAACTTTTTCCTCCTCTATAGTTTTGCTTCCTCCCCAGTGCAGTTTCTGTTTCGGTCTTGAACAATTGTTGTTGTTTTTTCTTTATTAAAAATATACAGGACGCTGTATCAAAATACTGATAAGTTGCCTTCTGACGCCATAATAAATCGCCTAACGAAAAAAAATTTGAAAAAAAATTTAGGGGGCGTTAGTGTCCTTTTAACGGCAGCATTCGAAAACAGGACCCTTTAAATCCGGAAGGGCTTTAAAAAAACTCCCAATGTTCTTGAGGAAAGCGTGCGAACTATTTGTGCTGAGAAGGTGCGCTAAACAACTATGCAAAAAAGCGGCCTGAAAAGCCTAATTTCTGCGTGATTGGTTATTATCTGCGCGTCTCGTTTATGTGTTCTTTTGTAACGTAAATAGCACTGGATTCGTAAATCCCTTAGCCGACCAGTGTTTGGCAAAGTGACGCATACTTATTTGCTGCTGCAGGATCACAGATGCAGGTATGTAACTGGACAGATCTACAAAACGACCCCCAGCACGGTGGTATTTGTTCCAATTATTAATAGCAAAGCAAATTTGCTTGTTTTTATAGGCAGCATGGGCCGACAGAGCATGGTAATGACCAAAAAAATTTTTTGTTCTAGCTCCTATATTTTGTTTTTCTTTTTTCTGTGAATGAAGGCGAGGCGTGTGCGTGGAAATGAAACTGCGGTCTTAATCTAGGCTTACAGCAGTCTACCAAAAGTACGAGTAGAAATAATTTTTGTTTTGTAATCATTGTGACGCGTTATCAAAACGGAAAGAATATGCGTATTCCAATGTCCTAACCAGGTAATCAGGGAGTCGATCGGTGACCAGCCCGTCATCGTCATGCGCATTCTATTTACTCGCGTGCTTGTCACATTTCTTGAAAATCTCGTGTTTGAAGCTCGATGGCAGTGCTCAATATGTTGTCCTCAAGTTCAGAAAGAAAGTCATGAATCATAGGTAGTGAGAACGCGTCATACCTTTCCGGGTGTTTGTCAGTGTGGGACATGCTGCATCAAGATCCCTCTACACAACACACGTAATACATCCGTTTTTTGTGAGTGCTTTTTTTACAATTATAGTGACTTGTTGAATTGAGAACATGTCTCACACAAGTGAAGCTCCATTGCTGTACTAAAATTGCTCCTCTTGTATCGGTCAGGTTGTCGTTACCTGAGAAAAACATTAAAATGCTTCAGCTTGCCTAACTGTATAATTATTGCAAGCCAAGCTAGGACCATTTAAGATATTATCATTTACATATTTTAATTGCTTACACGACAAAGCACTGTGTGGAGAGCATTTTCTTAAATTTTAGTTTCTGAACAGAATGTGCGTTTTGAACAAGCTTAGAAGACACAATACCCAAAGTTATAGGGTTATATACAGGTTCTACTCCGTCATATGCCAGATAACAATGAATTTTGGTGACAAGATCACTAATCATAGCAACCAAGCTTTTTGCTTTATTGAGAATTTAGTAGCAATATATGTAGGTGGGCAATCCCGTACACATTGCAATTAAAATATGAATTTCATTTGTTCCTGATGGTATTGTTGTTGAAAAAACTTTATTTCAGGAAATGTTTTTTGCTGCCGTGTCCTTTTTCTTTTAGAATCGAGCAATATCGGCCTAAGTATGGGATGTTGTTTTGATAAACCTGCGAACGATACGTATTTGTTGTCATATTTACGACAAGTTGGGAAAAAAATTAAAAAGCAGTCAGCAATTTCAAAGTGCAGTAGGGAAATCCCAGAATACTTTTTGGATTGCGGAGGTCCAGCAATCGCTCCATTTGACAGCTGCGTATGACCTCTTCCGTTTTTAAGCTGATACTGCTTATAGGAAAAGCAATGACATGGTCGGCCCGGGGGGAGTAGCGCCTGATAATGCTAATGCCCCGCCTGAAATGCAGCCGACTAGCCTATATTCATATGCATAATGCCATAACGCACTCCTTACCCACTCTTCAAGTAATAATCACCACCCTCCCCTCAAAAAAAAAATCCTCGTTGAGTTTTTGCGAGGTTCCTAAGAGACTCACTAAACCGAAACGAAACCTTTCCAAGTATCACGCCAGACAAACAACTAACTCAGCACAAGCGTGGCAATAAATACTAGGGGCCTAACTTGGGCATAATACGGTTTGGCTCAAAGGCGTTAGTGCCAGAGTGTTTTTTTTTCTTTCTATGACTTTTTACGGGCCCTCGACCACAAAGTTGCCAAAGTACCAGACTTCAGCCAAAGATGCCACGTATGAACTGAAGAATCAGCACTGAAGCCTAAATCTGTCAATTGTTTGGAAATTTAGGCCCAATGTTTCCACATGAAAACCGAACAACTAGAAGTGAAGCCTAACTCCAACACTTGTGCCGCGATTTAGGCCCAAAGATACCGGATGACAGCCAATCTACCAGCAGTGATGCCTAACTTTGGCTCTTATTTGACGAAATAGGGCCAAGACATCCAGACTCGAGCCAAGTTTGTCAAGTGTTACTTTACCTTGGCTCTTTCGGTCTTTTTAAGGCCAAAAATTTCCACTTAAATGCCAAATTCTGGGTCAAACACTGTGCTACTTGGGTTGACAGTTACATTAGTCAATGGATTAATAGATTAAAGAGTGCAGAATTTGAAAAAAAAAAGAGCCACGGGTACGATGAAGACAACGGTGCTTACTTTAGCTGTTTAAATCTGAAAAGAAGGTGAGGCGTCGAGATTGTAGACTGTCATTAACAAGTCTCGTTCATATCGAGGACAGGGTCTGTTCCTGGCTCCAAAAGATATCACTCAAGTTCTGGCAAAAATGAATCGACTAAAATAAACCGCGACGTCATGAAGGAATTAACAAAACGAACGTTTAACCTCCTTGCCAGGGCCCTAGAAACAAATAATCAGCAAAATTTAAATGTCAGTTCAAATTACTCGGAGGAACTGCGATCAATGCCTATTAGCAACGCGATCGAATTCCGTGATTTCCATAATGCGTAACATGAGCACGGCAAAGTCAAAAGTAGTAAAAGAAACTGATATAGTTCCCTTACGTGCATGGCCTATATTCTCTCCGTACGCGCACGTAATATTGACGAAATTTATGAGTTTAGATTTATTCAGCACTTAGCTCATCGCATAGCGCGTCATCCTGCAAACTTCGTATAGTCTAGACTCTAGACCATGTGCACGATTCTCTTGAGTTATTGAAAAACTGCAAGAGAATATAATGAATACTTCTGAGACATTTCAGTGCTGGAACGGAACATCAGAAAAATTAAAGTGGAGAGGAAATTCAAGTTATCAAATATATGTATAACATTAGATCTGTATCAAACAGTGCAAAACACAACTAATCAAAACGCTATAACTTTTTTATACACTTTTTCTATTTAAATACGGTATCACTAGCCATAAGAACTCTGTAGTATTTTATTTTTAATCGGTAAGGAGCACTGAGCGCTTACATCATACTCATCACCGTTGCCCGAGTAAAATTAGGTGCATTCCCACCAGAGTAAAGCACGTGCCAGCGTTCATTCGTGCGGAAGCCAGTGCCTAGGGACATTTCCTAGGGGTCCCTAGGGAGACCTGGGGAAGGTTCCTGGAGGAGCCCGGAGGGAGCGCGGGCGCTGCGGGGGCGCGTCTCTGTTTCGATGTGGCGGCGGCCCGGGCGCTCACTCGAAGAGCAGCGGGCCCTGCGAGGGGGGCCATGGGCCGTGGGCTGCTTCTTCCGCTGCTCGCCGCCTCCTGCCTCCTCGCGCACGCGCACCCCTGGGAACCCTGCGGATACGACCAGGACTACGACGGTGAGCTGCGCCGAACACCGGCCCGGGACCGTTACTCCCGAAGAGTCTAAATCTCAAACCGCGAACCTTAAGAAAAAATTTCCGACTCCTAGGAGCACCGATGATCTTCCCAGCTCGCGTCTATAGCACCAGCTGTTCCGAAATGTTTTGGGCCCCCGGTTCGCGCTCGGGAAGCGTCCGGAGTCCGGATTCGGGGCGGTCGTTCCGTCAGCGTGCCGTCTCGTGGGGGGCTGCGAGACGCGGCGGGACGCCGGTTCAGGTTGCGGCGGCTGTGTTGGTCACGCAGGCCGGCGTCGGTACTCGCTTATCGGCACGGCGATAGCGGCGTCGACTAAGCGTGCGGTTTCACCTGGGCAACGGCATGCATGCCGCCGACGCTGACGTTTCTCGGCACACGCGGGCGGGGTAGGGCGAGCCTGACATGTGTGGACTTGAAGGGTACGCGCGAAGTCATCGGATTGTGTAAAATCATAAATCGTGTTTCGTTTATATATATTTTTTTTTAATATAGAACACCTGATATAGCTGCTTTTTAAGATAAGTTTGAATTTGCTCCTTGTAATCCTTACCCTTAGGTGTTTTTGTATTGTTTTTTTCATGGCAAACGCTAAAAAAAATATATGAATTGGTAAAACGAGTACTTTCAAACAAATTTTGCTCATCGTCCACAAAAATAGAACTGAATATAGAGTAAACTTAATGCAAGCAAAATTAAAAAAAAAAAAACGCTTTGAGCTAATGCGCTAAGCTACGTTCTCAGAATTTCATACCACGACATTTCAACGAACATATCTGTGAAGTAATCGTCCAATGTACATCAGTTTTTTAGGAACCTAATATAAAGCTTTATTGGGAATGATTTTACCTTCACCCGATCCGCATCCGCATAATTCGGAACCCTATACGACAAGCAGTTTGCGTGTTCATTTCGCATCATAACATCGAATGTAAATAGAAAAATAAGAAAAGCTCGTCGCATAAAAGCTTTTGCTTTTGCTGTAGAAAACAGCTCTTCGAGTTAGATTACGGTGGAAGTAATTTTATCATATTCTGTTATATCGAATTTATTTTATAAGCGACCATCCTTGCAGAGACACTTTGTGGAAGGATTATGGCATTCATGAGACCGCGCCTGGGTGTGTGCGACACATTGCCCAATAGATGCGCTCAAAAGGGCGTCATTTTATTTTTCCTTTTGTAATATTCATTTGCAACAGACGATTTCAATTAATAAGTGACGGACTAATAACACGGTGACATTTTATTTAGGACAAATGATAAAAAAAGGCAGAGGAAAAATGGTCACTCACCGAAGCGAAGACGCGAGTATATCACAAGGAAAATATCACAATATTCAATAATAGCAACACCTATCAGTTTTAGTTTTAAGCACGAAGTAGTAGTAACGTGCTCCGAACCATACACTTCAAAGCAACTTGCCATTAGTAAAAAAAAAGAATAATAATAATAACGCACAGATCAGCACGTTTTTTCGAGCTCGCTGTGTAGAAATAGAATATCGTCAACGATTGACTAATTCCCACTGGTTCGCCTCTCTTAAATTACAAGGCCCGCTAATTAGAACTCTCTATTTCTGCTGGTGCACCTGATGCTGTGATAGAATGTACGAACTGCGCTACAAGGATGAGGTGCGGAAATATGGGCTTTACTCTTGTAATAAGAGGTTTTTTTCTACTTTCATGCGGCTTACATGTTTGGGGTTTTCTATGCCCAAAGTACGTTTCCGCTCTTTCTCTGCCAAACAATAACACGCCTTCCTGGGACGATTGATGCCCCTGTATTCTTTATGTCTTTGGGGACATCTTTTTTTTTTTTTTTTTTAACAAGATAGAACGCTCTGAAAAGATATTTTGCAGGACTAGGTTTTTACTGGCGTAAATAACAATTTTTTCCCCCGATTGGTACGTTTCTTGTAAAAGAGTAATTTGCTTTCGCCAAAACATTCGATGATACACTTCATAGTACCATTCACCCTATACACTGCGCGGTCGCACACATTTATGGGTTGCTTCGGCAAAAATGTACACAACCGATCCGCCATATATGTCAAATATAATTCATTTTTATCCGCTTTTGCCAGTTTACTGTGAATGTCCACCAACGATCCGCGGGTCACCCGCGGAAATGCGAGAGAATATTCTGTGGTTCATCCGCGGATAAAAATATCCGTGGATATTATTTACGTTGCACAAATCGACTGACGTGCTAAAAAACCACGCACGAGCAGAAGATAAGCGTACACATCGAGTGCTGTCTCTTCTTGATAGCTTTTTTTTTTTTTTTTTTTAGTGCAATAGCTTTTTTTTCTTTTTTTTCCGGAAATGAAGTTGTAAGATTGTATGCGCCTGTCCGTCGCGGCCTCACAGGCAAATTTGACGCGAACACCAGACTTGGTGCATTTTATATACCGATTTCAGTTTAGGCAGAATTGGCGGGAAAACGGCACCGCGCGCTGAGACAGACTGAGAACGCCAAGGCCGACCGGCGCCCGGAAAGCTGTAATGAGCCCCAAAGGCTACTAACGCGTTATATATATATATACGTCAAAAATGCGTACTGACGGAGTTACTAATTCGAAGTTTATTACGACGTTTCGAGCGAGGACCCCTCTTCATCAGGTGAAGATGAAAAGCGGTTCCCGCTCGAAACGTCGTAATAAACTTCGAATTAGTAACTCCGACAGTACGCATTTTTGACTTATTAACGTTTCCCGGTCCATTGTTTTTATATTTACCTTGCTTCACTTTTATATATATATATATATATATATACATATATACCGTATTTACTCGCAGAATGAACGCACTTTTTTTTCCGAAAAATCAATTCAAAGTTAGGGGGGGCGATCATTACGCGAAGTAAAATTTTTGCGTCCGTATTTACTCGCACAATGAACGGACCTTTTATCCTGAAAAATCGAAGTAACTTCTTATCTCTTAGCGCGGCGCCCGACCCCGTACCGAAACTAAGCTGTGCAAAAAAAAAGAAAACTCCTGTTTTCTTTTTCTCTTAAATCCTTGTTCTTTGTTTGTTTTTTTTTTTTTTTTTTTTTGCCGTCTTTCGCAAGCTGTTTTGTTTGCTTAGCGAGGGCTCTCCGCTTATCTTTCTCATCTCCTTGCGCGCGGCGCTCGACCGCACGACCCCCCCTAACCAAACTACGCTGGGCAAAAAAAAAAAAAGCTCCTCTTTTTTTTTTTCTCAGTTCCGTGGTTTTTTTTTCTTTTTGCCGCCTTTCGCAAGCTGTTTCGTTTCCTTGGAGGGCTTCTCCGCTCCTCTTTCTCACCTCCTTGCGCGCGGCGCGCGACCCGCCGTAACCAAACTGCGCTGTGCGAAAAAAAAAAGTTTTTCTTTGTTTTCGTTTTCTCTTAATTCCGTGGCTTTTCTTTTTTTTTTTTTTGCCGCCTTTCGCAAGCTGTTTTGTTCGCTTAGAGCGCTTCTCCGCTTCTCTTTCTTGCCTCCTTGCGCGCGGCGGCGCGCAAACCCAAAGTCCAGACTAATCCAGACTGCGCTGTGCAAAAAAAAAAAAAAAGCTCCTCTCCATGTTTTTTTTCTTGCTTCCGTTGGATCTTTTCGCATTTTCTTAACGCCTTTTGCAAGGCGTTTTGTTCGCCCATTCTGCCCATGCATTCGCGACCTCGCTGCACCAGGATAAAAATAATGCGTTCATTTCGCGCGTGTGGGGGGAGGGGGTCAAAATTTTGACATCCGAGTTGGGGGTGCGTTTATTACGCGAGTGAAAAAAAAAGTCGAAATTTTGAGAGCCGACTTGGGGGTGCGTTCATTACGCGAGTGCGTTCATTGTGCGAGAAAATACGGTATATATATATATATATATATATATATGTGTGTGTGTGTGTGTGTGTGTGTGTGTGCGCGCGCGTGTGTGCGCGTGTGTGCGTGTGTGTGTGGGGGGGGAGGGGCGGTTTCATTTCGATTCAGGCAACGAGTGGCAATCGTATTTTTTATTTTGCTTGCAATTTTTATATTTTGTGGAGCATGTTCCAGGAAGAACAATCCTTTCTATTTTAAAGTCCTGACATGTTTAGTTTCTGAGAAAAAAAAATCTCAAAGAAGCGGGACGGAACGACGAGGTTTTGACGATTGTCGTGTGTGGCGTCTTTTAATCACTCTCTATCTCAAAGTATTCAAAAAAGAGCGTCTATATTTTTTAGTGTAATATATATGCAAGTAGGGAAAACGACATTATAACTACTATTTATTATTCGTCGCTCCAATCTTTGTAAAAATCCCCAAACATGCATCCGCAAACAACTGTGACCTAAATTGCGGATTTTTTAAATATTTTTTTAGTCGACTACGTTTAGTATTGCTTTTAAAATAATACCACGTGTAGAAACTTTCATTGCCTTCCAAATTAAACAAAGTTTGTGTTTTTATCATGTACGAGTACTGAGAAATAAAATATTGTATTTATGAGAAAGAGTGTAGGTGCACTGCGCTCACTTGTAGACTGTAAGCTGACATGGCACCGAAAGCAGCAACCACACCCGCCATGCCGCTAGTTTACGGCCTCCTTAAATGATCCCTAGAATTGTGCAGACGAAGCTAGCGGTGCGCATGCTCAATAGCACCCTCTACCTTCGCAGCGAGATTCCAAGCTAAAGAAGCGATCTACGAAAGCTTCCTTTTGATAGGGTGTCTCGCCTGTTATTCACAAGAAAAGAAAAACTTGATTGTAATGTTACAATGTATAGCCAATGCAGAGTGCAGGTGTCCCAGCTTACCATATTTCCGTAGATTAGAGTTCGTTGTTCTTGCTGATGACAATGTGTGTTTGTTTGTTTGTTTGTTTTTGGCAAGCAAAGTATGCACAGAAACTCTAGGTTTCCGTTCTCCTTACTGCCTTGATTTTTGAACATCTCATTAAGAGATGGCTATGGAGACGACGGACACTCCGTGACCGCAAACTCGACCAGTCAGAGAAAAAGTGGCGGTTACGGGTTATCGATCGTTCATCA